GTTCATGACTTGCACATAGTTCATTTATATACAGGGGAAAGACAAATTTGAGGATTTTGGAAGAAAGGACCGAGGGCCACATGAGGTTAGAGGGTTCCAAACCCAGGAGATTATTTAAATAGGCAGTGTTTCTGTTTGGTGTTAATACACTGAGGTAAATGCACTGACTCTTTGGTGATGATCATAAAAGTTAGGTCACACCCTATAAGTCCTTCCTTAAATTATCATATTTGCTGCCGTGTCTGGAGTTTTATGACAACTTACAATAGATGTTGTACACTTATACAGAATGGTACTAAATACATATACATATATACTCTACATATGCACAGATTACAGGGTAGCAGCATCACAATGATAAAATAAAGAGTTTTGAACCAGCTTTTCCAAAAAACAGGTGAAGTTGTTTCAGTTATTTTATAGATTAATGTTTTACCTTGATGTCTTTTTCTGGCCAATTTTGGAGCAGGGATGCCACGTGGCCACGATCATGAATAGTGATGAAAAGCCCCCTGTAACAGATATATGAAGAGAAAGTTTTTATATATATGAAGCCTTGCAATTGCAGCTTTCAAGGCTATGATGACACATTGCCAAACCTTGTTTTTTTATTTTTTCCATCTGAAGTCAACAGTTCGAGTTGTAGCTCAGCAGCTGCTGAACTACAGTGTTTCTGTCAGTCCTAATATGAGCCAAGATAAAACTGATTAACGATGTAACATAGGATTTCAAAGCTGAACTCAGAGTCACTGGAGTCTTCTTCTACACTCAGCCTCATTCTAAATAAATCTTTGTTTCTTTATGTTATTAGACCAATGGCCTTCTTTGCTCCTTGACAATCCTAGGATAAAGAGATCAGCTCAGTGTGTGGCCTCCATCTGTAGCATCTTTGCTATAATTCTAGCCCTTCTGGCTATTGTGTTGGGGAAACACCATGTTCACATGCCAGGAACAGCTAAAACACCTAGTGTTTCAACGATTCTGTTTATAATCTGGAATCCATCCCTGATGAGAAGTGGGAACGATGCTGTGCAAATGTAAAAGCCATAAATAAAAAACATTGTTTTAAGTATGGATAAACACAGAGAACTGAAGAGAATGGTAGGGAAGTGTCACTAAAAAATGCTTTGACTTAGTAGTTTGTAAGGTGTAAAATACTGCCAGCAGTCATTTCCACTTCGTACTAATAACTACTTCAGAATAAGAAAAAATAAACTATATTGTTTTTTGTATATCAATATTGTATATTGATATTGTGCTAACAAACAACACACAAACCATTATATTCAGGTCAAACTCTGCTTCTTGAAATACTGTACAAACCACGTGTGTGTTTGTGCAAATAAGAGGGCATCAGTTGAGGCTGCGGTTGGCAACACAACACATTTTTTACATTATTGAGAAGCAATTTCATAATACCCTCTAATTTAAACTACACAATCTGAGTGAAAAAAAAGAAAGAAAGAAAACGGGCTTCTCTTAGGCTTTGTTCCCACCCCTGAGGGAATCTGGCCTGACACAGCTGTATGTACAAAGGTTTGCTGTTCTAACATTGGCAAGAATCGCCTGTGCTGTAAAGCGAAGGAAAATGAGTCTAAAGAGAGTTTGACCAGAAATACAATAAAACACGGGACTGTAAAGTCAGAACATTTCAGGAATGGAGGGGTTACTTCATGTTGAGTACGAAGAAAGTGCAAGAGATAGATTTTAAATTTTTTTAATTTAAATGTCAATTTAAGTTTTTTTTGCAGCGGTGTTGCTTTAATTAAGAAAACCACAATGGTAAAAACAATAAGCCTGTGTTCTGGCACATATTTGAATCAGATGAAACCACAACCCAAGAGTCATTAGTCTACACTGATCTGATCTGAACAGGTTTTTGGGTCTCACTAAAGGGTCTATGCCAAGACTTTCTGGCAGACAAAACAAGAAGGAAGAACAAAATCAGAAACTTTTTTGTTTTTTTTTAACTGATGGAAATAGTAGATTAAAGATGTGAATAAAAATAATTTAACTCATTATTTAGTAGTTTAGAAATAAGTAACCAGGCTTGCTTGAGATCCTTGAGGACATTTTTTAAGGCTAAATATGGTTCAACATCAAGTTCCCTAATTGTAGACCTCTATGGATGAAAATGACCTCGATGACTGGGAACCTCCACAAACATCAAACTAATCAGCTGCATCACAGAAAAAGAGAAGAAGAGAAAGAAGCACATCTGTCTGGAGCTTCCAGTGCAGGTCACACGTAGGTCATCAGGCCACAGACATCTGCTATCTGTCCTTTTAGACTCCTCACTATTTCTCTGGCAACAGATTGAAGCAGATCTGCCCATGAGAGTGTGACGGTGCCGCTAGAAATACACCATTAGAGGATCACTTAAAGGGTCTGTGGGACGTCGACGCAGCAGTGAAGGACTGTGAGAAGTTGGACAAGACAACTTACAATGGAGAGTGAAGAGAGAGAGTGTAGAGAGTGGAGGGTCCTGCTGTGCAGACAACCAGTGCCAGAAACAATTTCATGAGACAATCCTGGGAGAAACAACAATAGTCTGAGTCTGTAAAGTTGACCCTTTTTATAGACTACTGGACAAAATCCTGATATGACGGGTCAAAACAGACAGGCAAACTGAGCGTGATGTCTAACCTCTGTCAACACTAGGGTTTCAAAAACCGTAACAGGATTAGAAATGACATTACTTCAGTCTCTTTTGATGCTTCACTGTGCTTTCAGGGGAGTGTTGCCCTAATGCCCTTTGACCTTTCTGAGTATGCCACAGAAGAACTACAAAAGTGTCAGTGAAACTGCTTAACTTATTCTGTTAAGTACATCAGCCTTAGCAAAAATCTGTTGAGCTAAATCAGATCATTTTTGATGGTTTCAGATTCAGGATTTTTAAATGAAAATATCTACAGAAGCTGTGGGAAAAGGAGCTAAAGCTGAATAAGCTGTGATTTAAATGCTAAAATGTCAGAAAACTGCAGCAAAAGTAAGTTTCCCTTTAATTGAAGGTTAGGATTGGGCCTGAGGGCAAAAGGAAAATTCCATTCAGTGATACTTTAATGGTTGTTAAAGTGACATGGAAGCAAAACCAGAACATGCACGGTATCATTTTAGTATATAAAAATCCTTAATCACTTTAAATGCAGCTAAAAATCTGCCTGTAGGCATTTCAAAGTACCACACTGAGAATGCAATTTTTTTTTTTTTTTAAATACTATTACCATTTTGAAAAACATTCCCAATGTCTGGTGAGTTCAGGTGTCAATCACTCAGCAACATAGTTTGAGAAACCACAAATGAGCTAGTTTGGTGATCCACACTACTGAATCAAACACCACAAATGAAGTCTGTTCTGTTAATGATGGATGTGGCTCAATGTACCACAAACTAAATAATGCTTTGGAAAACAGACAGAAGACATACTGATGAGTAACCAGTTCCATGATATAAACATTACACTCCTTGTAGAACATCTGAAGAAATGGGAGAAATAATTCTCCTACTGTTTTTAATAATAACAAGGATAAAAACTGTCTGGTGTAAATATTTAAAATATTTCTTCTCAAATAATGTCAATGTCACTGTCCGCTGATTGCTCAAGAACTACTAATCATAAATTAAATAACAATCTGCAATTGAACACATTGCATCAAGTATCAACAAGTCATAGTAATATGTATTCAATTATGAATTCAATTTGTATTCAAGCCTATTTTTCAAAATCGTCCAACAGACTTGAATTAAAAATGTGTAACCCATAATTATTTTTATATAGCCAATTCTGGACAATTTTGGCATGGTGAATGTAGGGAATTATGGCTCAAAGATGTATCATGTAAACGTTCCAAAGTACTTCCTGGACCACAGCACCAACTACTGGTCACAGTAAGTGCTACAACCCCCCTGCAAGTGCAGGAAAAGTCTCAACCACGGTTTAATGGGTAATCATGGCTGCACATGTCCAGTGATGTTTATAGATGTTTAAATATGTGTTTATTTGTGAGCATGTGTGTGGAGGACGACTGTGACTGAAACAACCACAATGAATAGCAGTCACCTCAACTTCCATTTAGGTTCCACAGAATGCAGATCTGCTGTGCCAGAGGGTTGATGTCCTTAAAGAGCTCCACCAGTGAGCTGCAGCACAAACACAAAACGCACCACAGAGAGCAGCAGGAGGCCAGCAGAAGGTAAAGCTGTGGCGGCCAGCGGCCGGTCGTTGACCCGTGTCCAAACAAAACAACACCAACCATTATTCTTCACACTAACTGCATGACCCTAATCTCCAGTGCGCTGTGTGCCCTCAGTTGGCAGAGCACACAAAGTTCAACTGACACGACTACACCCCACGAATCACTGAGAGAAGACTGTCAAAGTCACAGATTTCTTTTACTAATCATGCTTCATATCCACCAAATTACAATCTCCACACATGTGTCCATTTTATTTTGCTGCAATTCTTACGTTTAATAACTCCATTGTGATTGTGCACAGAGGGACGAGCTATGTGTCTGGGTGCATGGAATTCCACTGTTGTTACTGTGAGTAGCTTGAACTCTTTCAACTAAATTGGACATTTTCTAAATACCTTTGAAAAGTCACTTTGGCCCAGCTACAAGGACTGCTGTCCAACTGTACTGTAGAGCTACAGTTAGAACACAAAGGATGACATGAGGCATTGTGGGAGCCATTCATACTCACAGGAAAACGTGGATTTCTAGGTATCACCATGTCAACATTGTCTACTAAAATACACCTTAGGTCAATAGAAATCCTTTGGATGGGAGTTAGTTTCTAAAAATATTTGAAAAACACAGTTTACTCATGACTTACGTCAATAAGACAATGCAAAAATATAAATATAGAATAAAATAAATGTGATTTACTTTATGTGGTCCAACATCATGGACTTAAAGCAGTTGAAACTCGGATCAAAAATCACAAACGTGACAAAGCCTCTGTTTTCTAAATTTACCTTGGCTTTGTATAAATGTAATCACGTGCTATAGTGATCAACTGTAGTGTGGGAACTGGTCAACCCTGGGTCTCACACCAGCAACCACTGTCCAGAAAACTATGCAGTGTGTAAACTAAGATAAATATAGTTCACAATAGTGGTAACAAACACTCACAATCTGGGTTCATGGCAGACATTAGCACAGGGATCTTAATTGCAAAGAGTAAATACACCTTGACCACGTGTAATTGCACAGTAAAAATAGAAAAACATTACCAGAAGGCAAACCCTAAGTCCAGGAGAGTTATTTCAGATAAAGAAAATTCAACTATGAAAATGTCTCAGACAATTGACAACCAAACATGGTTAACACCTGTTTTTCTTTAATTAACTCTGTGTTTAAAATTATAACTAGATTACTATATAAGTCTTAGTAAAAATAAAAGCATTAGTATGACTTAAGTAGTACGACATAAGTGAGACTCAGCCAGGAAGGCAGCTCATCTCTCAGGTGGTGGCATGTCAGCATTTATATACTAAAGGTCACACATA